AGCTCTACACTTTGTTATCTCAGATTTCTCCAGCATCTGCAGTTCCTACTATCTCTAATACACATAAGTGGCCAGTTTAGGACCTTTGCTGCTGTCACTGACATTTAGTAGCAGTAGGTAGGGTCTCAGCCTACCTGCTATAACCTGCTAGGAAGACCACCTGGTGAACCATGCTTAGGGTGAGATAGTGGTACTCCTAATTGGACACTTTTTCCAAACATGCAAAAAAGAGCTGAACTCAAAGATGTGTGGGTCAGGTGGACTGGCCACACTAGATTGCCCATTGTGTCCAGGGATATGCAAGCTAGGTGAATTAGCGATGGTTACAGGTTAGGGGGTGGGTCTGGGTAGGATGGTCTTTGGAGGGTTGATGTGGACTTAATGGGCCGAATGGCCTGCATCCACACTGTAGGGATTCTATGGCATTCTATACAATTCAAAAGGTAAAGTGAAAGTGACAGCCCTTGACATCAAGGCAACATTTGACCAAATGTAGTATCAAGGATCGCTAGCAAAACAAAAGAGTATCGGGGCATTCTTAAGAAAGAAATCAGGAAGGCAAAGAGGGGATATAGGATAGCATCGGCAGCTAAGGTTATGGATAATCTAAAGAGATTCTACAAATACATTAAGAGCAAGAGGGTAACTAGAGAGAGGGTAGGGCCCCTTAAAGATCAAGGAGGTCAACTTTGTGTTGGTTCCCAGGAGATGGGAGAAATAATGAATATTTCATGTCAGTTTTTACTGCAGAGAAAGAAATGGAGTCTAGAGACTACAGAGAAATAAATCTTGATGTTTTAAAAACAATTCACATTGCAGAAGATGAAGTTCGGGAGGTCTTAAAGAATATAAGGGTGGATAAATCTCTGGGACCTGATCTAATGTATCCCAGAATGTATTGGGAAGTAAGGGAGGAAATTGCGAGACCCGTTGCAGAAATGTTTTCATCATCTATAACTACAGGTGAGGTGCCTGATGGCTGGAGCGTGGCTAATGTTGTACCTTTGTTTAATAAAAGTTGTAAGGAGAAACTGGGGATACATAGACCTGTGAGTCTGACTTTGGTTGTGGATAAATTGTTGGAGTTGATTATAAAAGGTAGGATTTATGGACATTTGGGGAGGCAACAGTAGATTAAGGATAGTTAGTATGGTTTGTGCAAGGAAAGACATGTCTGATAACTTTATTGAGTTTTTGAGGAAGTTACTAAAAACATTGATGAGGGCAGACAGTAGACATTGTTTACTTGGATTTTAGTAAAGCCTTCGACAAGGTTCCACATAGTAGACTAATTTGTAAAGTTAGGTCACATGGGATTCGAGGTGAGCTTGCTAATTAGATACATAATTGGATTAACAGCAGGAGACAGAGAGTGGTGGTGAAGGGGGACAACAAGGTGCAGGGCTGGATGAACACAGCAGGCCAAGCAGCATCATAGGAGCAGAGAGGCTGAAGGGTTGCTTTTCACACTGGAGGCCTGTAACAGAAGTGTTCCACAGGGATTGGTTCTGGGTCCTCTATTGTTTGTCACTAATACAAATAATTTGGATGAGAATATAGAAGGCATGGTTAGTAAGTTTGCAGACAACACCAAAATTGGTAGCATAGTGGACAGTGAAGAAGGTCTTCTAAGATTACAAAGGGATCTTGATCAAAAGGGTCAATGGGCTGAAAATGGCAGATGGAGTTCAATCTGGATAAATATGAGGTATTTCATTTTAGTACAACAAACAAGGGTAGAGCTTATAGAATTAACGGTAAGGCCTTGGGTAGTGTTGTAGAACAGAGGGACCCAAGGGTGCAGATACATAATTCTTTGAAGTTTGCGTCACATTTAGACAGGATGGTTAAAAAGGCATTTGGCATGCTGACCTTCATTGTTCAGTCCTTTGAGTACAGGGGTTGGGAAGTCCTGTTGAGGTTGAACAGGACATTGGTGAGGCTTCTTCTGGAATGTTGTCTCCGGTTCTGGTCACCCAGGTATAGGAAGGATATGATTAAGCTGGAGAGGGTTCAGAAGAGGTTTACCAGGATGTTGCCAGGTATGGATGGTTTAAGTTATAAAAAAAAGGCTGGATAGGCTGAGACTTTTTTACCTGAAACGTAGGAGGTTGGGAGGTGGCCCAATAGAAGTTTATAAAATAATGAGGGTATTTTCCTTAGGATGGGGGATTCCAAGACTAGGGGCACATTTTTAAGGTGAGAGGAGAGAGATTGAAAAAAGACATGAGAGGCAATTTTTTTATGTAGAGGGTGGTTCGTGTATGGAATGAACTTCCTGAAGAAGTGGTCGATATGGGTACAATTGGATAAGTACATGAATAGGAAAGATTTAGAGGGATATGGGCCAGGAGCAGGCAGATGGGACTAGTTTAGTTTAGAATTATGTTTGGCATGGACTGGTTGAACCAAAGGGTCTATTTCCATGCTGTATGACTCTATGATTCTACATAAAAACTGAGCAGATCAGAAGCTAGTAATCATGCAGCAACTAACTCACTTCCTAACTTTCCAAAGCCTGTCCACCAACTACAAGGCACAAATCAGGAGTGTTATTGAATACTCCTGACTTGCCTGACTTAGTACAGCTCTAATAACACTCAAGCAGCTCAATCTCATTCAGGGCAAAACAGCCTGCTTGATTGGCACCCCATCCACCACATTCAACATTCACTCCCTCCACTACTGAGGCACTGCAACAATCTACCATCATTACATCTGAACCCATTCAGCTCTTTTTTCCTTGTTTGGATCAAGGCTGTAATGAGGTCAGGAGCTAAGTGGCCTTCTGAACCCATGATCTCTGCCACCTTGAAGGACAAGGGCAGCAATTACATGGGAACACCACCCCCTGCAAATGCCCTCCAAGCCACTCACCATCATGACTTGATGGCTATTCGTTCATTGTTAGTTGGGCAAATCCTGGAACTTCCTTCCCAACAGCGCTATGGATATATGTAGCCATCCTCCAGCCCTGAAGTGGTTCAAGAAGGCAGATCTTCCAGCTTCTCCAGGGCAATTATTGATGTGCAATAAATGTTGACCCAGAGCAACTCCTATATCCCGTGAACAAAAAAAAAATTAGATATCTACACCCGCATGAAATGCAACTAGGGATCCTGTGAATGCAGAAGCAGGGTTGCCTCCAGCTTTCCAGCTCATTCATGTCCTCTCTGTAATGATAAAATTCAGCCCACTGCATCCAGAAGTTTATGTTGCCTGTTGCTTGTCAAAATTGCATGAAGTAGGCCTCCTCTCAGTCAGGAAGAAAGAAGTAAGAACAAAGAGCTATGACCCAGTTAAAGGCTGTCGGCCTTTGAAATAGAAACTGAAACATCTTCTTTTAACCAATAAAGCTATGCCACAAGATTTAACTTTTTTTTAATCAAAACGTAAACCTTATTGTATACATAACAAAATTAAATACAGCTAACACAATTAAGCTAACACTATGGCTTATAACTACTTAGGTTATACATTCAGATTACTTCTTACTTTCCCTAAGAATTCTCTCATAAGACACATCAATCTTCAAATCAATTACTTCTGTATGATCCTCCCATAAGTATGACACTGTCCTCGCTAGAATTTTTCCCCACCTATTCTGAGGTAAACCTTTTATTTACTCTTTTGATTTTTGAGGTTTTAGTTTCTTATTCCAGTTACCTTTCCAATACTTAAATACTAATCTTGATGTGGAGGTGCTGGTGTTGGACTGGGGACGAAAAAGTCAGAAGTCACATGACACCACATTATATTCCAACAGGTTTATTTGAAATCAGACAAGCTTTTGGAGCAAGCCCCTTCGTCAGGGGCAGTGAAAGAGGGGAGCACACAGACCCAGAGTTTATAGGCAGAGAGATCAAGGGCACAGAGATCAAAAGATCATACAACTGGTGTGAGTGGAGTGTCAGGTGATAAGTCTTTGCAGGTGACCAAGAGTGTTAGACAGTGTGTAAAGTGTCAACAGCTGACTAACCAGCGAAGGTATGAACTGTAATCCGATTAAATGAGGCAGAGGGATAGCTACAAAAAATTTAAAATAAACTGGTGCTGGAGACAAACTAAATGACTAGAATAACATGATAGGTATAAGGGTCACATGCTGAGGGGCTAACCAAAGTAGTCAGTAATTCAAAACTGTACAAACTAATTAAGGTAGAGAGATCATGACAATTTATCAAGGTGATGTTGTCAAAACAAGAATTTCTGTTTTTAATTCTTCTGAATGTATTCTACAAAATGTAAGATAATATTGTTTGACAATCTTTGTTGGATGACTGGTATGTTTATATTGAAAACAAGCATGTAACGAATTGCATTGTCACATAGACCAAGCAGAATATTCTTACTTCAATAGCTGATTCCACCAGATATGAATATTAGCTTGATCAAAATGATTTATATGGTCAATTACTGTTGCAATTGTTCAAAATTTCAAAATAATTTTCTGCCAATCCAGAAAAAGAGTATTCCAAATCATGGTGTTATATTTAATTAGGTACCACAAGATGAATGGAGTGGTTATTCTCCACAAAGTAAAGAGGATGAAATTCCTTGTCGGCGAATGCGCAGCGGCAGCTACATTAAAGCAATGGGAGACGATGACAGTGGGGACTCAGACACTAGCCCTAAACCTTCTCCAAAGATTTCTGCACGGCGTGAGAGCTATCTCAGGGCCACCCATCCGTCCCTAACAGAGCTCAGCACACTCAAGTAAGTAGAAACACTTGTTTAAAAAAACCTGAAGCTGACACCTTTGTCGGCATTTTTATTCATTCTGGAAAGTGGGGACCAATGACTATGCTGCCATTTATTGCCGATCCCTACTTACACGTGGTTACAGGCCTTTTACTTTAGACTGCCATGTTTTCATATAACTAAGTGGCATGCTAGTCCATTTCAGAGTCAATCATAATGATGTACAGTGAAGTCATGTCTAGACTAGAGCAGGTTCCCTCTTCTAGATAACGTTAATGAATTAGTTAGGTTTTTATCACAGTCTGAAAACCTCAAGGTTACTTTTATTGATATAAAGTTCTTGTTCCAGTTTTGAAACTATATGCCTACATTTGTGGCAATCCACTGGCGACTAAAATAAAATTTCAGCAGATTTGTGCAGAGGCATTATGCACCCAATACTTGAAAGTTCACAAATTAACAATTTTCCATGGATTAAAGAAAATTTTTTTCCTTATTACCTTAAATGACCTCCTTCAGAATGAACTTCAAGTCATGTCCTTAGAGATGCATCTTGTGATAGATGAGTAATAACAGTTAACAAAATAATTATAACTAAATGTTATTGTTGAACTTCTCTTTTAATTGATTATGTTATGAAATGTGAATTTTCAGTGCTGGGAATAGATTTTCACAACTACAGAATCACAGAATTGTAACAGCACAGAAGAAAGCAATTTGGCCCATCGTGTCAACACTGGGTCTTCAAATGAGCATCATTACTTGATACCAATCTTCTTCTTTTCCCCATATCCTTGCACATTATTTTTATCCAAATAACCATCCCATGCCCTCTTACATTCTTCAGTTGAATCTGCCTCTACCACATTTCCAGGCAATGCATTTCAAACCTCAACTACTCACTGTGTGATTTTTTTTCTCATGTCACTCTTGCTTCTTATGCACATCACTTTAAATCTGTTCCCTCTCATTCCTGTTGCTTTTACAAGCAGGAACACCTTCTCCTTATCTACTCTTTCCAGCCCACTTATGATTTTGAAAACCTCTATCAAACGTCCTCTCAGCCTTCTCCCTCCAAAGAGAATAGTCCAACTTTGTCAATCTGTCCTCATAATTAAAGTTTCTCATTCCTGGAACCATTCTGGTAATTCGCTTTTGCATTCTCTGTATGCATTCACATCTTTCCTGTAATGTGGCACACATGACTGTACATAACACTTCAACTAAGATATCACAAAAGTTCAACATCAGCTCTTTTCTTTTGTACTCTATGCCCCTATTAATAAAGCTGAGGACACTTTTTGCTTTACTAACTGCTCTCTCCACCTGTCCCCACCATTATTGATCTCTGTATATTTATACCCAGGTCCCTTAGCTTCTGCACCCCTTTAGAATTGTATTCGTCTTTTTATCATCTTTCAATGTTCTTCCAACCAAAGTGCATCACTTCACATTCTCTGCATTGAACCTCATCTGCCAAATATCTGCTCACTCCAGCAATTTGTCAACTACTTTAGAATTCTACCTTAAGTGGATGAAAGCAGTTAAAAATTCTTCTTTATTCAATTTCAGATGGCTTTAATGACCATAGTGGAAACTCCCATCCCCTTTTCTCATTATTCTTTGCACCCAGAGACAATAATAGTTCAAATGCAATTTTATTAAGAAGTAATAGCCTTCAAAACAAAATCAATTTTCAGTCTGTTGGATTTGCCATGAGTTTGTAAAGCATTAATGATACAGGATTCTGAAAAGTTGCTTATTCACGTGGCTACAGCACAATTCATAAACTAGGAAAAGGATTTAATACACATATCAATTCCAACAATTCTGTATGTACACTACCCCCAAAAGACTAGCAGGAGTTGAATGTAAATTTAGTCACAACACCCTTGCCTGCACCAGATAGCTACGCAATGCCTAGTATGATTCCCAACAACTCATGCGTTAGCAGAGATTTTGGGATTCAGAAACCCACTGGTTTTATTTTCTTTGGCTCCATCTTCGTGATTAGTTTCAATGTGGGAAAATTCTGTATGTAGAGAGGAAATCTATGGAAACCAAAGTGTATCAGCTCAGAAGAACTCCCATAGAAATGATGTAACTGAATTTTTTTTAACAGTTTGTGGGTCTTATACATCTTAAAGTTTGCACTGCACTTGCTGCCCTGGGTGTAAACACTTAGCTGATCATTGGCCAGGAATAAAACCTGAAACCTTACTTGATCCATCTAGGCCATCAACTCTCACCTCTAATATACACTGTTTATTTTAGGATACAAAGCTCCATAACTCAGAGGCACCGAACTTATGAGAAAGTAAAAGCATTCACCGAAGGGAAAGATAAAATTAAATGCTGATCAAATTTCATGGATATTTCCAGCTCATTCAGAGTTCTCCAACAACATTTGAATTTCCCCTGGATTGTTATTGGACTGGAAGTAGGTGGAAGAATGGAATCACACTGGTGGTTGTTCATTCACAATACACCACAAGACCATGATGTAAGCAAAACACTCTGGATACTCGAAATCTGAAACAAAAACATGAAGTGCTTGGAGATGCTCAGCCGGTCTGACAGCATCTGAGGAGATAAAAATGGCGTTACCATTTTGAGCTTAAAATGACTCTTCTTGAGAACTGACTTCTCTTACCACAAGATCTCTCTGTTAGGATGCAATTTGAAATAGTTCTGGAAATTAGAATAGTTAACAAAGCCAATAAATAACTGTTGCCACTGCTTCATAAAAGTCTACAGCTATTACCATGCAGCAGTAAATTATTACCATGCATAGCTTTTAATAATGTAACACTCCAATTGTTGTGCATTACACTTTAGTTCCACCAGAGATGGACAACTAATGCTGACCTTACCAGTGACTCCCATATCCCTTGAAAGAGTAAAGCATCTGGGATAATGTCTTCAGTTTTTGGAAACATAACCTTAGGAGAGATATTTCGACATTGGAAGAGATATGGTACAGGTTCAACAGTATTACACTGGGGTTTGTGAGCTTAAAGGACAACTGATATGAAAAATGGCTTGTACTTCCTTGAGCTTAGAACATAAAGGGATGATCCATTTGAGATTCCTAAATTATAAAGGGATTTGATTTTGATTCCCTCTACTAAGAGAAACTTGAACTAAAAGGCATACCCTTAGAATTACACCTTGGTCTAGAATTTATTATTGAATAATTTGACCAGTCTACACATACTGTTGGTATCCAGCCAGACCCAAAAGCAAAGAGATTCAATGTTGTGACATAACCTACATAAATATATCTACATATATTGAATAAAAAGTAATATATTTTGTTAAAATTAATGTATATTAGACATTTAAAGAACAAGATTCTTCCTTAAAAGATAGAGATGGGAAGAATTTACTTTCTTCTTGGAGGGTAGTTAGTATTTGGAATTCTCTTCTCCAGGAAACGGTGGAGGCTGGGTCATTGAATTTATTCAGCACATTAGTTGACAGATTTTTGATGGACTTTGGATTTGAGGGTTCTGGATGACAGACAGTAATGTGTAGATGAGACTACAACGACAAGATCAGGCACAATCTTATTAACTAGTGGATCAGACTTGAAGAGGTGAATGGTTTACTCCTAAGTCTTATGTCCTTATGTTCCTACTCATTCATTTAAAAGCAAATGCTCCAGATGCTGGAAATATAATGTAATTTTTAAAAATGCTGGAAATACTCAGCACCAGTATTTTCTGACATTTATATATTGATGTTTCATTCCAGTTGAGCTCATGTAATATCTTTATATACAATAGTTGCTGACAATCAGGTTGGTCCAACAACTTGTATATATATTTTTATATATGAACATATAGTATATATATTATATATATGTATTTAAATGATTTTAATGTAGGAAGATGTCAAAGGAGTGTTATCAGACAAAATTTAACATTGATCACCATAAGATGTTAGGATAAATCTTATTCAAAGAAGTAAGTTTCAAGGAGCAATTTAAAGGAGAAGCCACATGCTGAGAATTGGAGGGGTTTAGGAAGCAAATTCCAGAATTTAGGACCTGACACAGAAATGAAGATATTCAGGAATGTGAGAGAGGCTGGAATTGCTAATGGTAACTACTAGCCATATTAATTCAGTTGTGACTAACAGTGAAAACAACAAATAGGAACCGTAAATTCATAAATCTAAACATGAGAATGGTTTCTGTTTCTTAGCATCACTGCTAATGACAGTATAGTTCTTTTAATGCCTCCTACATCTTTTGGTTTCTTGCCAAGCTTCTTCATCCCACTACCAATGAGTCATCTAACCACCCCCAGCTTTCCTATTGTGATTTGAATGAGCAGGACAGTTTTTGTCACATATGATACTATTAACGGGAATAGTAGCTTTCTATTTTAGTAATCAGTGGATGTCAAGCAGAACGGCTTGCAATTAAAACTTATTACTTCATTGGTATTATTTACAAAGGATTATATTGGAAAATTACCTCAAGAACATCTTCTTTTAAATTGTCCACAAATTTTGCTGGCTTTATGCAGCTCACTACCAAGTTCTCAAGGGCAAGTAGGGATGGACAAGTAAGACTCGCCCAACCAGTGATGCTACATCTCATGAATGAATGAAAAAAGGATAAAATCAGAGCAGTTACTCTTTTTTTTCATTAAGAAGCATATCTATGGAGAGGAACAGAGACAATTGGTGGAATCTTGGAGAGTTCTAGGTGGTGTGGGTTAGATGTGACAGAATTGGGCAGGAAGTTAGACAAGGTCATCTTGACGTCAAGGTCATCTTGCTCCATTTTTCATCAGTGGTGCAGCAAGGTTCTCGCTAAGCGGCAGCAGCAATTGTTAGGGTAGAGACTAACACTTGTTAAACACCTTCTTAATGCCACTATTTATCTAATTAGTATTCAGTCTCCTGTCTTACCAAACCCACCAAACAAACTAGATGTGGGGAAAACTCAACAAAGAAACCAGATCACGTATGGCAGATTCAATTCACCATTTGCCCCAAGCAAC